AAGGGAGTGTAGAGTTGGACCAGACCATCTTCAGCTATAGAGATCCATAGTTTCCTTGGCTTGGGGGTTTACTATCGCCGTTTTATAGAGGGGTTTACATCAATTGCAGCCCCTATGACCAGACTGACACAGAAGGGTGCTCCGTTCCAGTGGACGAAAGAGTGTGAGGCGGGCTTTCAGAAGCTTAAGACAGCTTTGACTACATCCCCAATTTTGATACTGCCTACAGGTTCGGGGTCTTATACTGTCTATTGTGATGCCTCGAGGATTGGCCTCAGAGCGGTGTTGATGCAGGACGGTAGGGTGATTGCCTACGCGTCTAGACAGTTGAAAGTACATGAGAAGAATTATCGGTCAACGACCTTGAGTTAGCTGCCATTGTTCATGCCCTGAAGATCTGGCGTCATTATTTGTACGGTGTGCCTTGTGAGATTTATACTGATCATTGGAGCTTGCAACACCTATTCAAGCAAAATGATCTAAATTTGTGCCAGAGGAGGTGGTTAGAGTTGCTGAAGGACTACGATATCACTATTTTGTATCACCCGGGCAAGGCCAATACGGTGGCCGATGCTTTGAGTCGCCAGGCAGAGAGTTTGGGGAGTTTGGCTTATTCACTAGCATCGGACAGGCCTATGGCGATGGATGTTCAGGCCTTAGCCAACCAGTTTGTGAGATTGGATCTTTCGGAGCCCAGTCGGGTTCTAGCTTGCGTGGTTTCTCGGTCTTCCTTATTTGATCGTATCAGGAAGCATCAGTATGATGACCCTCATTTGCTTGTCCTCAAGGATGAGGTTTAGCACGGTGATGCCATAGATGTGGCTATTGGTGATGATAGGGTATTGAGGATGCAGGGTCGGATCTGTGTACCCAATGTTGATGGGCTTCAGGAGTTGATTCTAGAGGAGGCCCACAGTTCGCGGTATTCCATTCATCCCGGTACCGCGAAGATGTATCAAGATTTGAGGCAGCACTACTGGTGGAGGCAGATGAAGAAATATATAGTTGGATTTGTAGCTCGGTGCCTTAACTGTGAGCAGGTGAAGTATAAGCACCAGAGACTGGGTGGGTTGCTTTAGCAGATAGAGATTCCGGAGTGGAAGTGGGAGCGAATCATCATGGACTTTGTAGTTGGGCTCCCACGGACTTTGAGAAAGTTCGATGCTATCTGGGTGATTGTGGATCGGTTGACCAAGTCCGCTTACTTCATTCTTGTGTGTACTACTTATTCTTTGGAGCGGTTGGCGGAGATCTATATCCGGGAGATTGTTCGTCTGCATGGTATTCTGGTTTCCATCATTTTAGATAAAGGTACTCAGTTCACATCACGATTCTGGAGAGTCGTTCAGCATGAGTTGGGTACTCGGGTGGAGTTGAGTACAACATTTCACCCTCAGACGGACGGACAGTCCGAGCGCACTATTTAGATTCTTAAGGATATGCTTCATGTGTGCGTGATTGAGTTTGGAGGGTCTTGGGATAAGTTCTTGCCATTGACAGAGTTTGCTTACAACAACAACTATCAATCTAGCATTCAGATGACACTGTATGAGACTTTATATGGGAGGCGGTGTAGATCCCCGGTGGGTTGGTTTGAGTTGGGTGAGGTTAGATTGTTGGGCACAAACTTGGTTCAGGATGCTTTGGAGAAGGTTAAGGTGATTCAGGATAGACTCCGGATAGGCCAGTCCAGACAGAAGAGTTACGCGAACCGGAAGGTTCGTGATGTTTCCTACATGGTTGAAGAGCGGGTTCTGCTTCGAGTTTCGCCTATGAAGGGCGTTATGAGATTTGGGAAGAAAGGGAAGTTGAGTCCGAGGTTTATTGGCCCTTTTGAGATATTGAGGCGTGTTGGGGAGGTTGCTTATGAGCTTGCCTTACCTCCCAGCTTGGCAAGAGTTCATCTGATATTTCATGTTTCGATGCTCCGGGGGTATCACGGTGATCCGTCGCACGTATTGGATTTCAGTTCAGTCCAGTTGGACAAGGATCTATCCTATGTTGAGGAGCCAGTGGCAATATTGGATAGGCAGGTTAGAAAGCTGAGGTCAAAGAACATTGCATCAGTAAAGGCTCAGTGGCGAGGTCAGCCGGTCGAAGAGGCGACCTGGGAGACCGAGCAAGATATGCGCAGCCGTTACCCTCATCTTTTCACTACTTCAGGTATGTCTCTATGCTCGTTCGAGGACGAACGCATGTTTAAGTGTTGGAGGATGTGACGACCTGGCCGATCGTCTTAATAATTAACTCCCCAATCCCCTATTAACTGCTTTTCCCGTGTTTGTTTCTGCTATTTTGATTTGCCGGGATGTTCGGTTTTGAGTTTCGGAGAGTTCTGGGATACTTAGTCCCTAAATGAGAGCTTAAGTGTTGGAAAGTTGACCATAGTCGTAACAGTGTGAAGACGACCTCAGAATGAAATTTGGATGGTTCCGTTAGCTCCGTTTAGTGATTTCGGGCTTAGGGGAGTGATCAGATGGTGTTTTGGAGGTTCGTAGCTAATTTAGGCTTGAAATGCCGAAAGGTTGAATTTTGAAGTTTGCGGTTCGATAGTGAGATTTTGATCCGAGGGTCGGAAAGGAATTCCGAAAGTTGGAGTAGCTCCGTAGTGTTGAATGTGACATGTGCAAAATTTCAGGTTATTCAGACGAGGTTTGATAGACTTTTTGATCGAAAACATATTTTTAGAGTTTTGAAATTTTTAGGCTTGAATCAGTGGTTGATTCGTCGTTTCGATGTTGTTTTAGGTGTTTTAAGGATTGGGATAAGTTTGTACAGTAATATTAGACTTGTTGGTGCCTTTGGTTGAGGTCCCGAGGCCTCAGAATGATTTCAGATGGTTGACAGAATGATTTTTGGAGTTTGGAGTTGCAGCTTCAGCTGGTTTTCTGTCATAACCGCACCTGCAGGTTTGGAAGCAGCATTTGGCATCGCAGAAGCGGAAATGGGAGGTTCAGCAGGAGCCGCAGAAGCGGTAGAATTTCCGCAAGAGCGGTACCGTATCTACGGATGGGGAGTCGCAGATGCAGAATCGGGCTGAGTTAGTGATTGTCGCAGATGCGACCATTGGTCCGCAAAAGCGGGACCGCAGATGCGGAAATCACTGGTAAGAAACATATAAATACTTGCCTTCGCAAAATTCAGCCATTTTTTACCTCTTTTCAAACGGGAAGAAGCTTGGGGAGCACTTTTCAAGAGAGATTTTCAGAGAAGTTCACTGGGGTAAGGTCTTTGGTCCCTAAACTCGTTATTGGAATGATTTTTATCAATTTAAGCATGGAAAATTAAGGAAAATCAGTGATAAATTGGGGGTTATGACTTGACTAATTAGTGGCCTTTGAGTGATGATTTGAGGGACCAATTGAGGTCCGACTTTGGTACTTTTTGTATGCCTGAACTCGTGGGGGTGTAAGGATTCTGGAAATGTAAATTTTACATGATTCCGAGACGTGGGCCCGAGGGGCATTTTGGTTATTTTTCCTAATTTCGCGTATTAGATTAGAATTTCTTTGTAGAATCAGTTACTTGAAGTGTTATTTATATTATGAAATTTAATTGAATAGATTTGGGCCATTTGGAGCCGAGTACCGCGGCAAGAGAGTGGTTTCAGATTGATTTGAGCTGGTTTGAGGTAAGTGGCTTGCCTAACCTTATGCGGGGGACCTTCCCTCTAGGATTTGGTATATTTGATAATTGAAATGCCTTGTACGTGAGGTGACGGGTGCGTACTCGAGCTAATTGTTGAAAATTCGGTTTTCTTTAAGTAATTTCAATTGTGTTCCTTTTTCCTGTTTCATTTTACTTGCAATTTAAACCTATTGCTAGCTTAGAAAAAGCATGTCTAATTAACTTAATTGTTTATTTGCTTAAACTGCCTTAATTGAATTCTGTGAAGCATGCTAAATTAGAATTACCTGTTTTATTTGGTACGAAATTGAGTTTAATTGAGTATTCTTGTGTTGCTGCTGTGTGTTTTACTTTGGGACTGCTGGACGGCATCCCGGGAGATCCCATGTACGTATTTATGATTTGAACTGAGGTGCGGGATACCAAGAGATCCCTGGCACGTATATTGAGGATACCAAGAGATCCTCGGGATACCAAGAGATCCCTAGCATATATATTGAGGATACCAAAAGATCCTCGGGATACCAAGAGATCCCTGGGCATATATATTGAGGATACTGAAGGATCCCCGGTTATTATCCTTGTTATGAGTAGTATTTCCTTGTGATGGTCTTTATCTTTATCTCTGTTTCAGTTATTGTATTCCTTATTATCCTGTATTAAGTTCTTATTGTAGATTCTCAGTTGTAATGCTTATCTTATTCTGTCATCTCTATATTTATTTAATCTCAGTAGGGCCCTGACCTTCCTCGTCACTACCCGACCGAGGTTAGGCTTGGCACTTACTGAGTACCGCTGTGGTGTACTCATGCCCTTTATGCGCATGTTTTTCATGTGCAGATCCAGGTACTGCGACTCAGTCCTATCACCCTTGAGGCGAGGTGACTGCTCCGAGACTTCGAGGTATATCTGCCGTGTCCGCAGACCGAGGAGTCCCTTTCCATTCTATCTTGTAGTGACAGCCCTTCCATCTTTTCTGTTGATGTAGACATTTCGGAGTTTGAGCATTTTATTATATTCGTAGCTTGTGATTCATGAGTTTCCGGGTTTTGGGAAAACTGTATTAGTTTATGAGAGTTGGTACTGTGTATGCCGAGTGACACTTTTAAACGCTGTTATATCACTCTATTTCTGTTTTAAATTGTTTTTATTCTGCAATTTAGGCTTACCTAGTCGTAGAGACTAGGTGCCGTCACGATGGTTCACAGAGGGCGAACCGGGGTCGTGACACTCTACTCATTTTATATTATTAGTGGTATCACGCCACTTGCGTTTCCCCGAGGAAGTAACAAGTTCTTCACGGTCTTGATATGTGCATATAAATTTTTGAATAGTGAAAATCACTTGGGAAATTTGCATAAAAACAACCAAGTTCAAGAATAATAGTCAATAAAGGTAACATGAATATATTTTCCAAGGCCTCACATCATGTTGAACAAGTTCAAAGGGTAACTTCGCATGATTTGTAGACTCAGCTCCAGAAAGAGTTACACTGTAGTTGCCAAAGCTGGCACGACGAGTGAAGTGATTGCCTAGAAAAGGATCACGGGATCATCTACAAAAGATTAAAAAGGCCTGGATGTCCAACACAACTGTAAACAAGTAAAAGAGGCTCAGCAACTATACAGTGGAAGAAGCACCAGACGGATACCATATACCTTCAAATGCCCTTTCCTCCTGTACCTCAATTCTGCATCATAATAGATTTGTCACTAAAACTTATGGAAGAATCAAATGTTTATGTACATTTGCTAATAGAAATAAGATGTAAAGTGCATTCGGGAAAACATTATACAAAGGCAAGAGTTAACCATACCAACCAGAAACGCCCATGTTGCTCAGTCTAATCCACTTATAATTCGAGCACTCCGATATTCTCCTTATGTGATGTCGAAAATATAGAATAGCTTGAATATCAGAACGAGTGATTGTGACATAGTTCAAGAAATCAACTGATCTCTTATATCTCTCGGGTCAATAAGAGACTCCCCTTTCATGAGAGGACCAAACAAACACATTAAAATTTAGTTCACTTTGTTAGAGAGAAGATATTCTCAAACGACATCGTTACAAAAATAGTAAAGTAAAATAACTTGCAGACATATTCAGCAATCCCTGTTAGGTTCTCGAACTAGCAACCAATGTGACAAGCTTGTCACATATGAAAAGTATGTATCAACTTGAAGAGATGTGTTAGATAGCTAAGTTTAGTTTCTTAGAGGATTAAAGTGTGTACACGAAAGTCGTAACCACATGGTACAAGTATAAAGATATACATCTAAAGTTTGTATGCTATAGGAGGAAGATATTTGTCTCAATCTTCTCTCTGGATTCTCTAATTTCTGATAGACATGCTCTAAAACAAGAAATAATGCACAATTATTTGGACTGGGTCTCCCTAATTGATAAACAATATTCCATAATCAAATTCAGTAATTACATCCATTAATTACAGAATATTTACAAATTTTATAACACAAATAATCATAACAGTATTGTTGAACGACTTCCACCATGCCTCCTAACCACGGATGCTCATTTGCTAAATGTGGACACTCCCAACATATGGCAGAATGAGACTCTAAATCCATGCTGCCAGAATATGAGAATAACATACGACATGCAATACATGAAAATCATTTACAGTATCGCTTTTGTTTGCAAGGAAGAATAGGGCCCATTCTACAAAGAAGTCACAAGCAGTAGGTGGAAAAAGCTCCACAGCCAACAAACAGATGCAGTTTACAGGAAGATAAACTCCGCAGTATCTTTCTATTTCCACTTTCTAATTGATCCAAGGTGTAGAAAATAGCGCACTGAATATTTCCCACTTCTTAGGAAGGCATCAACTCGACATATATTAATTGCAGGGAAGCATGTCGTGTCCCCAAATCACTGCATTAATTGCAAGAACACTTGCACATGCACATATACATGCAGCGAAAAGGACTGATACCATATTAAAACATCTCCATCGATATCTATATATTTTGTTATTACTACTGAACAACATCAAAAGAAAAAAAACTACAGAACCAAGCTACACTCGGATGCAAACAAAAATGAGAAAAATATACCTCCACTCCATCTCGCACAGACACCCCTAAATCTTGGGAGTAAAAGGCACGAGCAATGAACTTCCGAGTCCTTGTATCTTTCGCTCCTAATAAAGACGAAATGTCTTCAATAAGTTATCACTCTTCTTGAATGACCTGTTAAAAGCAACTCATAAGCTAAAAAAACAAGAAAAGAAAGATGCAATAACCTGACATAGCATCTATTTTCTGTCCCAATCTACGCTAGCACCTAAACTAAAGTAAACCAAATTCTATAAATCCTATTCCTGGATACATACTGATATTCTACAATATCATGCAACGGAATCTCAAGATATCCTATTCCTGGCTATATCCTCATATATCTACTAGGTATTCCACAATATTAGGCAAAGTAAATCATGACATAGAAAAAGAGACAAAAATCAATCTCACTCTTGTTTTTATTTTCTTTTTACACAACTTGAATTTCTATTCAAGGAATTTACCAGGGAGCATTGCTCTTCCAGTGCGTCGAAATTAATGTATATAATCTTTTAGCTGTTCCTTGCATAAGACATCAGATAACTGATCCATAAAGTCAACAACAACTATTATGCCAGGTAGATGACTGTGAGGAAACATCTAATTTATCAGCATCCGTGAAACCTGAGATTTGCTATGTAATAATTAGATCTTTTAGTTGCCTTGGTGCACATTTTAGCTGGAAGCTGCTAAGCATTTATGTGTAAGCCTTCTCCCTTGACTGAAGGACAGAGCAAACTAGAATATAACTGATACTTCAGTGAACAGCATAAGTTAGATACAAATAAATGAACATAAACTTGCCCTATTGGTAAATCAATAAGAAGTCTGGAGATATTTGCAACAAACCTTCCCCCTCAATGTCAATGACAGTCCAAATTAATGTGTTTCAGATAGAGAGAGGACTTTTGTCAATTGGAAGCTCAGCAAGTACCATATCTACTAAAGCACACTAAAGTAAATAAGCTAAAAATTTGTTGATCATACTTAGTGAATTAAGTGAGTTACAAAGTTTTGGTGCAACGGTAAAAGCTGCCGCCATGTGAGCAAGAGTTCACGGGTTCAAGCCGCGGAAATAGCTTCTTGTAGAAAGCCGCGTACATAAGACCCAATGTGGTTCGACCCTTCCGTGGACCCCGCGATAGCAGGAGCTTGCTTAGTGCACCGAGCTACCCCCCTCCACGTAATATGAAGTCAAACAGCATCAACATGGTAGCATCCTCCTCACTGATATCTCACATCATAAAGTGTTATATCATAAAGTGTTAGCCTGACTATGATGGCTACCCCAACGACGTCGACGAGCTCTCCTCTTTCTCCCATCCAGTTTTGCCTTAGCTTTTTCTGTCAAGTCTCTTTCACCACGTCGCTTGTACATCTTGAAAGTCATATTTCTCTCTGCAGCCATTTTTCTCAGCTTCTCTGTAATCTCTGCAGCAATCTGTCTATTATAAAGCTTCCTTAGACCCCGCATAAGCTTAGCAAATGTGTCTGGCTGAGGCATCAAACCAGCATCCATCATATCTAAGAAGTACGAACAAGCCTCTTTTACATCTCCATTTGAAAACAATGCATGAATCCAAATGGTCCATGCATACTCATTAAGCTCACATCCTTTGGTCATTATGCAACTCCAGACATCTTTACCTAGTTCAAGTTTCTCTGCTCGTAACAGAGTATTCAACAGGTCCTTCAGAGTACCATATTGAGGAGCAGACAGAAGACCTCGTCCGATCATTTCTTTAAAGTAATCACAAGCTTCTATTAGACGCCCTTGATCAACACAACCATTAATCATAATGACAAAGGTGTCAACCCCTGGACTGATCCCGTTCGTTTCTATTTGGTTCCATGCTTGCACAGCTTCATCAATTTCCCCCAATTTACAAGCTAAACGAATTACTGTATTATAGATGCTAAGGTCAGGAGGTATACCGATATTCTCCATTTCCTTAACAAGTTCCAAACACTCTTCCAACTCTTCCTTCTTCTCATGGGCTAACATTATATGCAAATAAGTAGTCTGATTTGGATTATACCCTTTCTGCAGCATATCATCCAGAAGTTCATAACCTTTTTCAATCTTTCCCCACTTACAAAATCCACTTATCAAGGTAGTATACGTCACAACATCAGCTTCACATCCGTTTCTCTCCATATCCAAGAATACCCGCATAGCTTCCTCCATCTTGTCTTGCGAACAAAGTGCCTGAATTACTATAGTATAAGAAGTTGCATTAGGGTTGCAACCTTTTTTTGTCATCTCCTGCAGAAGATCAAATGCATCAGCCATTTTCCTAGACACTGCATAACCATTAAGCAAGTTGTTATAAACCACAATGTCTGGCTCGAAACCTGCCTCCCTCATTTTCACCAACACGATTTTCGCCTCAGTAAGCTTCCCCTCTTTACACCAACCATATAACAATGAAGTAAAATGCTTTATGGTAGGGGTAAACCTAAACCTCATTTCGTCAAACAATACAGCTGCCTCTTTTACGCTACCATTCTTACACAAAGCATCCAACAGACACCCGAACACATAGTCATCTGGCTCACAACCATATTTGGGCATCTCATCCAACACCTCGATCGCTTTCTTTACCATTCTAGCTGAGGCAAATCTCCTCATCAATACAATAAACACTTCTGGTGTCAAAAACTGAGGATTCTCTTTTCTCATCTCCTCAACAAGTGCCCATACAGTACCAAACTGCCTCATTTTCCCCAAAATCTTGACCATTGATTTGTATGTATCATGACTATGCCTATAACCAGGTTGCTTTGAGGCCCATACAAAGAATCTGTAGCCTAAATTCCCAGCATCACCACAACGACTCAACACACGTTCGGTCAAGCCTGAATGTACTAGGACACCAGATTCTAGCAAAGCAAGCTCAAGTTTTGGAACCCTTGAATGAAACTTTCTCAAAATTCTATAAACCTTCTCTACATCAGCTGAAAATTCATCATGATTCTTGGCAGAATTTAAAAGGGCTGACTCAGAATGTAAAAAAGATTTACCATTTGAGGCCATTTCCGGTAGAATGTGCAGTGAAGATGCTGCACGGAGGCTCAGTGATGAAGGCAAAAGATTGATACTTCTCAACATCTGGAGAACTTCAAATTGGTTTTGTTAGGTTGGTCTCTGCAGATATTTTGCCTCATTCAAGATTAACACTGGGAGTGGGAGGTTGACGGGGGAGGAAGGTGGCAATTGGCGCCGTGCTGGTGTATGTACGGTGGTTGGTGTATTATGGTTGGGCCAACATAATAGAACTAATTTATTTTTGAAAAAAATACATTAAAAATTGCACGAACATCTTATTTGGTCGCCTCAATTTAACCTATATCCATTTTTTTTACCTGTACTTACTTTTTAAACAAATTCAGCCTCTTTCTCCTCCTCCTCTTCCTCAAAGTTATATCCACCCCTATCTTACTCAATGTTGTATTAGGCGATCAATGCCAGTGCGACCTAATTTCTAATGGGAAGTTCACATGTTCCTCTGTTAGAAAAAGAAGCAAAAATGACATCTTTTCTAGGATTTTTGCGCAAAGGAGTTCCATTAAATTAAGCTTCATTCCTTAGTTGGAGAAAGAAGTCCCCTTTGGATGATACCTTAGCCAAATTTAGTCGAAATATTATCTCCAAATGCCCTTGTTGTAGGTCTCCTCAACTAAAAACGTATTCATTGAGAGTGAGACTGCCAATAGAATCTGAAAATACTTTTCTCAGACTATGGATATCAAGATAGATTAAAAATCTCTTTCGGAGCTGGTGGGGGCATCAACACAACAATTCTATGCAAGGTATAACAATACTAACGCGAGAACAAAAACTTCAGCTCTAGAGCTGAAGTTCGCCAGTTACAAAATAAAAACTTCAGCTCTAGAGCTGAAGTTCGCCAGTTACAAAAACAAAAACTTCGCCAGTTACAAAACAAAAACTTCAGCTCTAGAGCTGAACTTTAGGCCCGGCTACTAGAATGCTGAAGTTTTGCATGATTGCCTTTGCTACTTCAGCCCCGTATGCTGAAGTTATGCGAAAAAGCGGGTACCTTGTAATATTTTTTGCAAAGCGGGCACAAGTTAAAACGTAACACAAAAAGCGGGTATAGATGCAAATGCTCCATAAAGATCAGCTATACAATGTAATTTTGGGGCATTTGCATCTATACCCGCTTTTTCTGTCACGTTTTAACTTGTGCACACATTGTAAAAAAAAAATTGCAAGCGTACCCGCTTTTTCACATAACTTCAGCATACAGGGCTGAAGTAGCAAAGACAATCACACAAAATTTTAGCATTCTAGTAGCCGGGCCTGAAGTTCAGCTCTAGAGCTAAAGTTTTTATTTTGTGAGTTTTTGTTCTCGCGTTAGAATTGTTGTAGCTTGCATAGAATTGTTGTGTTGATGCCCCCACCAGCTCCGAAAGAGAGTTTTAATCTATCTTGATGTCCATAGTATGAGAAAAGTATTTCCAGATTCTATTGGCAGTCTCACTCTCAATGAATACGTTTCTAGTTGAGGAGACCTACAACAAGGGCATTTGGACATAATATTTCGACTAAATTTGGCTAAGGTATCATCCAAAGGGAGCTTCTTTCTCCAACTAAGGAATGAATTTTAATTTAATGGAGTTCCTTTGTGCAAAAATCCTGGAAAAGATGTCATTTTTGCTTCTTTTTCTAATAGAGGAACATGTGAACTTCCCATCAGAAGTTAGGTCGTACTGGCACTGACCGCCTAATGCAACATTGAGCAAGATGGGGGCGGATATAACTTTGAGGAGGAGAAGGAGGAGGAGAAAGGGGCTGAAGTTGTTTAAAAAGTGGGTACAAGTTAAAAGTTTTAAAAAAATGGGTATAGATTAAATGGGGACGACTAAATAATGTGCCCCGTGCAATTTTTACGATCTTTAGACAAATAGCCAAATTCACTGTTTATTTTTTAGCCGATAATTGTTACTTATATATAAATTATACATCTATTATACACTATTATATTTTATATATTTTAATTATTTTAAGTTTAAGTATTCGGGTGAACTGAAATTTAAATTAACTTTTTTTACTTTTCTTTTGGAATGTCGATAGGTCGAATTTTGAATTAAATTGAAACATATACACAGTGCCAGTGGTACATAGCTTGTCTAAATTAAAAACGGCAAAGAGCAAAATATACCCATGTACTATGAGAAAAGGCTTAAATATACCCTTCGTTATATTTTGGGTCCAAATATACTCATGTCGTAATACTATTAGTTCAAATATACCCCTCTTCTGTTAAGTTTGTCCAAATTAGACATCCAATTCAACGTGACACTGACATTCGATGATCATGCCACCTCAATGCCCCTAACCCATTTAGATAAAGGTAATTTAGAGAGAGATAATACTAGATCTTTTCTTGACTATGTTATTACAAATGAGTAGAGAAGTCTCCTATTTATTAGAAAGTTGCTTTGTGACCTAGTAACTAATCTTGGTGGCCAAGTAACAAATCTTGGTGACCAAGTAACCAATCTTAGTGACCAATTAACTAGACTAGTTTATGATTAACTAACTTTCTCCCAGGTAATTTCATACTACATGATCTACAACACTCCCCATTGAAAGTCCATTAGTAGATAATATGACTCGTTTGAACCTTAACTAAAATAAAATTCAGTGGAAAAAAATTTTCGAGAAGGAAAAAGAGTACATATATTTAGAAATACGCCTTTTGGTTGCCTCGTTAAAAACCTTGCAAGGAAATCCCAGTGGGACAAAACTTTGTAAGGAGAAAAGAGTACAACACATATTAACTCCCCCTGATAAGAGCATCAATTCACATCTTTGAGCCTTCACATCTCAATCTTGTATACTAGCTTCTTGAAGGTTGGCGTAGGTAGAGATTTGATGAACAAATCAGTCATTTTATCACTTCAATGAATCTGTAGTACATTGATATCACTATTCTTTTGAAGATCATGTGTGAAAAATAACTTTGGTGAAATTTTCTTTCTCCTATCTCCTTTTATGAATCCTCACTTCAATTGGGCTATGCATGCTGCATTGTCTTCATACAAAATCGTGGATAGTTTGTCACACTTCAAATCACATTTTTCTCGAATAAGATATATTATAGACCTCAACCACATACATTCTCGACTTGCTTCATGGATAACAATTATCTCAGCATGATTAGATGAAATAGTCACGATTAATTGCTTAGTTGATCGCCCAGATATGACTGTGCCTCCACATGTAAATATGATATTTGGCTTAACGTATGCACATTTATATGCATATCGCCTCACATTTTACTCATATTTTGTGGATCTTGGATGTGGAATGTAATGATTTATTCTAATTCGTGGTAATTTATGTATAGGAATTACCCGGAAGGAATGTGGAACAAAAGTGCATGAGTTGAAGCATAGAGAACAAAAGAAAAAAAGGGTCAAGTGTAGTGCCCTGGGTAGTGCATCGCGCACAGGCCAGCGCCAGGGCTAGCGCGACGCACTACCCTGGACGCTGGGTGATGGGACACTCTCCTGTTTCGCTCGGGACAAGGTTTTGATGCTCCTATACACCCCAACTCGTATAAAAAGAAGTCTAAACCTATTTTGGAGAAAGGAGGACGCTACTTTGAAGGAGAATTCACTTTGGGGATACATTGGAGCAAACTTTCTACTAGTTTTCTTCTCTTCTCTTCCTTTAATCTTATAGTTTATTAGTTCTAGAGTTGTGGGGTTTTATGAATGTTGTAGTTTGATTCTTTAATTGTTTTTATTATTTTATCATATTATTTTATTTATACAATCTTGCGCTTCATTGTTTGATTGCTTGATCATCATTTGAATACTATCTAGGATTGAACTCGAGATATGGAATTTTTAGATTGCATGTATGATTGAGTAGAGCGAGATCTAGAACCTCAGTATCAAGAACGAATTTGCGATTAGGATAGGGATATACCTAATCGCCTTGCTTGGTTACTATACAGGAATTGTTAATGCGTTCTTGTTAATCCTAATTCTATAGGAATATATGTGTTAGATTAGCTTGAATAGGCGAGTAGTACTTCGGGAGAATACTACGATTAATATTAAGTCTGTCAATCAATAAACTAGATAGATTAATTAGGCAATTTAAGTGAAAGATTCAACGGGATTGTTAGCTAACCCATAGATCTAGAATATTTTCTCCAATTGAATTCGTCTCTAAGGTTTCCGACTTGTTTTCTGTAATCGCTTAATTTGCTACTCTAGATTAGTTTTAGTTAAATATTCATACTTTAGAAAATTGCTTGAATAGATTAATTGTCTTAGTTTAATTTAATAAATAGTTAATCAAAAGTTCCCATAAGTACGATATCTAGACTTATAATCTTATATTACTTGTATGACCACGTATACTTGTGTGTGCGTTTGGGAGCAACAAGTATTTGACGCCATTACTGGGGACTTAGAAATTAACTATTTTACTAGATTAGATTGTTACTTTTTGTCTATTCAAGTTATTTATTTATTTATTTATTTATTTATTTATTTATTTATTTTAGCTTAGTTTAATATTTAATTATCTTTGTTGACATGACATCTTGGAATGAAAATTTGTCAAATATTGGTCATTCTTATTTTGGTAATCCTTGTCTATAGTATGGAGAACCGCACTTATGAAAAAATTGTGAGAATATTTTCGGGAGCGAGTTGGGTACACCATCTCAATCTTTTGCGTGGAATATTTGTAATGTATGTGGTGGTCAAGGTGGCCATTGGGATGATTGTCCTAATTTTTATTATCCCACTCGAGCTCTTATTATGATTTATCTATTAATGTTTGTAATTTTGTTAAGAGCATTGAAGTAAACGATGTGGAATGCGCTGCTCGTATTATAGACACAGTGCGGCAAATAATTGAGAAAAATGATGAAATTTAAAAAAAATTGCCTTAGAAGTCAAGGTACCGCAGGCTAGAATGGAAGAATTAATGGCCAATTTTCTAGAGCAACCTCAACTCGACGAAGAGAGTGAATTCCTACAAGTTGTAAAAGTTGAAGAAGCAGATATAGTGAGCCAATCTTGGCTAGAGGAACAAGCTCAGCTGGTAAAATTTCACCGGTTTCTACATAATGGTCTTTCAAATATGGCAGAACAGCTGATAGAAGGAAGAAGTGATCTAGAGTAGAACAATTTGGCTCAGATATCCATGACCTGCATGTTAAAGCGTTTTTAGAGTTGGTGCGCATTGGACCTCATTCTGTCACGACCCCAAAATTCCGCCAGAGGATGTTATGATGGCACCTAGTCCATATGACTATGTATGCCTAACACATACTGAGTTAATAACATAATTAAAATTTTTAATCATTAAATCATAAAACACTAGACATACATAGTTCCAAACGACCCATAGTTATACATTCCCAAAACCTATCGTACGGAATCATAAGCTCTACTGAAATACACTGAAATTTCTAAATACATTACTATTTTAAAATGAAGATAAATAGTAGTAACGATATTATTTGAAGGTGACTCCGAGGCTTGCGAACGTCGTGTAGGTATACCTTGGAGTCTCTAGCCACGCAGATACAACTCTCAACAACACGATCAGAAGTACCTGAATCTGCACAAAAATATGCAGAAGCGTAGCATGAATACACCACAATAGTACTTAGTAAGTATCAAGCCTAATCTCTATAGAGTAGTGACGAGGCCAGGTCAAGATACCTACTAGACATAGAAAACTGTTCAAAATATACAT